CTCTCAAGCTTTTCCACATCCTTCCTGAAGTGCAGTGCCCAGAACTGGACTCAGAACTCCAGCTGCAGTCTCACCAAGGCCAAGTTGAGAGGGAGGATGACATCCTTAGCCTTGCTTGAGATGCCTTGGTAGATGCATGCTAGTCATGAACAACACATGCCCCCAGTGCCTGGGGGTGGGTGTGGGGGTGGGCACGGTGGCACTGGTGGTGGCAGAAGCATGGCGGCAGTGACGGGCGAACAGCGGCAGTAAGTGTGGAGCTCCTGCAGACGCCACTGGTCCTGTTGGCAGCGGGTGGGGGGGAAAGGGGTGTGGTGAGCGCTGACCAGAGGTCAGTGACCACCCTCAAACACCACCCGCAGCAGCCAGTGGTGATTGTTGACTGCCCACAGATGCCGCCAAGTGTTGGTGGCTAGGCGGGGAGCGGCAAGTGTCAACGGCGCCTTTTTGTAGGGAGTGTACCACCATGCTCAGGTGGTGCATGTGCACCTGTGTGCACCCCCTACGTATCGCCAATGATGCCAATGTTTGATTAACTCTGCAGCTACGGCATCACATTAGTGGCTCGTTCATTTTGTTGTCTATCAAGACACGTCTCATTCAGATGTGGTGTTAGTAAGCAAGCGTAGCACTGCTGAGCCTGTAAGTGTGTTGTGGATTATTTCTCCCCAGATGGAGCACTTTACATTTCTCCATATTAAATGACATCTGGTTGAGTTCTGCCCACCTTGCACGCCTGTTCAGGTCAGCCTGTACTGCCAGCCTGTCTTCAAGCACGACCATACCCTGCCATGGTTTGGTGTTGTCAGTGAACTTTGCTAGTTTGCTTTTAATACCCAAATCCAAATCGTTGATGAACAAATTGAAAAGCTCTAGCCTGAATACTGAAGCCTGAGGGACACCACTGGTCATCCTCCGCCAGGATAACTCAGTTCCATCAATCAATACTCTCTGGGTCCTATCAGGGAGCCAGTTACCTAGCCACCGGACCGTAAAGTAGTTGAGGCCGCATTTTCCCAATTTTTTCATAAGGAATTCATGGGAGAGCAGGTCAAAGGTCTTTTTGAAGCCCAGGTATATGACATCAACCTCATTTCCCCCATCCAGGTGGCAAGTAACCTGATCATAGAAGGAAATGAGGTTGGTTTGGCATGACCTGCCCGTAATAAAGCCATGTTGGTTATCCTTCAGAATACTGCCTGCTGCTAGCTTCTCTGTAATGGATTCTTTGATAATTTTTTCCAGGATTTTACCAGGGATTGAGGGCAAACCTATTGGCCTGTAATTTCCTGGGTCCTCCTTTCTCCCTGTCTTAAAGATAGGCACCACATTGACCTTTTTCCAATCTTCTGGGACTTCTCCCAATGCCACAAGTCTTCAAATAACTTTGCCATTGGTCGCACGATGGCATCGGCCAGTTCTTTTAGCACCCTTGAGTGTATTTCATCTGGTCTTGCTGCCTTGTAGATATTTAGCTTTTGTAGGTGCTCCCCCACAAGATCTATACCAACTATGGGGTGGGGGGGTCCCCCCCACCATGATCATCCTGTATCCTGTCAAGCAGGCTAACACCCTTGGACTAGCGGTATACCAACGTGAAGTATTCTCTCAGGAGTTCGGTTTTGTACTGAGTCAGTTATCAGCTGTCCCATTTCATTCATCAAGGGCTGTATGCTTCCCTTATTTTTTCTCTGACTTCCTACATATCTAAAGAAGGACTTTTTGTTGTCCTTGATTCCAGTTGCCAATCTGTATTCGGTTTGTGCTTTTGCTGTCCTGATCTGCTCCCCACAGATGCGGGCTGTTGCCGAGTACACCTCTTTGGTTGTTATTCCTGACTTCTGTCCATCGAGTGTCCCCAGGTGGCACAAATAGCTAAGATGCCTGCTGCAAGGACATCTGGGGCCTTACCAGCAGTAATTTGTTCTGGGTAAGGTGTTACCTGTCAGCTCTGTGTTCCTGAAGGAGTCCTGGCACCCAGCTTGCTGGACTTACAAAGGATGTTTTCTATTCCACTCCCCAGTCCCAGTATGGGAGGCCTATTTAAACTTGATTGACTAAAACTTGGTTGCTGGGTTAGGGAATGCTGAGGCAAGAGACTGAGTCAGAGGGGGTATGGGTGACATTTGAACAATGGTTAAGGGTTCCTCACAACATCCAGCCCATTGGAGCCCTGACCACAAATGCTGTCATACTTTTCCTGGGATGACTAGTAGATGTCCTCCCCACAAAGTTTATGAACACTCCAAGTAATCCCCTTAAGTATGTTAAAAGACTACAGTAAGATCTGAAAGTCATGCTAAGATGAGGCTTATTCACAACAGGTAAAATACAAAAAACTAATGCTGACTTCGCAGTGCAAGCATAGTTAGGCCATCTGAGAAAAAACAATGTGGTATCCCTTCTAGTATATCTTCTATATGCATAATAATTTCAAGCTGGCTCTTAGGTGTCTGGTTACTCCTTAAAACTTTATGTTTTTCCTGGTTGTTAATCAGTTTCTTGAGATGTTCCAAACCAGATAACCCCTTGTCACTGAAAAAGGTAATTCATTTAAATTGAAACTGTTTATATAACAGGATTTTCCCTGTCAATTATGGCTTGGGACCCTCTTGATTTACACAATTAAAAGAATGCTTTGAAGAGGCTGGACTAAGGGTATAAGCTGTAAAGCAGCAAACAGTGTGCTTCAAGAGGGAGCTATCTCTCTGACACCATCCGCTGTTGTTCTCAAGAAGCTGGGACAAACAGATCGTCTCTTTCTGTTGCCTGTTTAACCTTCAAGGATCGTGCTAGAAACTTTGCCTGTCAACAAAACACCCGAGTGCCTTGGAATGGTGAGATCCCAGCTCTCTTTCTCTTTTTCTCTTTTTCTTTCTGAACCTGAATTTTATTAATTAAGCTTGAGAGAGGTTTCCCCAAATACTCAATTGAACCAGGGTAATATTGTAATTGTTTTTGTTTGTTTTTCCTTGCATGGCTATCATCCATTTACTTAGCAATAAATAACTTTTATAGTCAAACTGGTGGTAACTGGGTGAATTTTTCCTTCTCTACTTCCCCTTCCCCACTTGGTCTGGAGCAACGCTTTTTCTACCTAAGCCAAAGATCCCTATGAAGCCCCAAAAGACTGTGGAGTCTGCTTATCAAAATGATACCACTACTAGGACTGTTAGGGCAAAAGATTGGGATGTGCTGAGTTTGAGATACATAAGAGGAACAGCTTGTATAGGCTGATTGACCCAGTTTGACTCAGATGTGCCCTAAAGAACTGAATGCTGGCCCATGAGGGAGTCAGCTGGACACCCAGCCTGATTCGAGGTATTCTGTTCACCTGTGTGCACGTGTCTGTCTGACTTTATTGTTGCCCTGATGAACTGATTCCTGGCATATGAGGGTGTCAGCCTGTACATGCTGATCAATCTGGCCAGATCAGGCATGTCACATTAATCTGTGTGTGTGCGTGTGTATTTGACTGATTTGATGGCTGGAGGAACCCAGCCCCATTGAAACTGAGTCCTGCAAGATAGCTCCATTGGGGGTGAGGACAAAAACCGTAACACAGACTTTGAGAAATTAAAGGAGTTAATTAAGGAGAGCCTGATCCCAAGGCATTGTGACCCAACAGGGCAAATATGTCCACAAATACCTCCAAGGAGGGTGTTGATGCAGTCCTCCTACACCAGTATGGTCATAACTGGAAACCAGTAGTGATACCCAGATTACAACATCCTAGGTAGGATCATCTTCCTAATCTGATCCCTGCATCTCTCCTGGGCCACGAGGCACAGCCACAACCAATCCAGAGATCCTGGGGGCCCTGCAGAGCCGGTTTTAGGCACTTGCTTCAGTGTCCCCAAAGGCCCTGGGGCTGGCCTGGAGGGTGAAATGTGTGTGAACAAGTCTGGGCCCTGTACCAGGGCAGGGGAGGGGTCATCACTGGGACAGAGCCCTCAGGTGAGGGTGCTGTTGAGAGGCAGGTGATCCCACATTGGCTATGTACAGGCTGTCCCTGGCCCAGTCAGTGCTGTGACACCAGGATGACCCCCAGTCACTCCTCTCTTTCCACAAGGGGATGTGACTCCTAGCTACAGAACCTCTCCATAGGTCTACACAGACCTCATCCAGACTGAAGCCACCCCTAGTGTGTCCTCCACCACCCTCACTGAGCTCCATAGCCAGCTAACTTCACAGCAGAGTATTGAAGCCCTGTACCCTAGGGTTGTCTCTCTTTGCTGGACCTCTCCAGCAGGAAGATCAGGACTGGCCAGGTCCTGTCCTTGGGCTGGGGCCTCGTTAGGGTCCCAACCACTGTATTCCTGCCAATACGTTTCAGACCCCCGCCTCTATGCTATAAAATCCTGCTGCTGCTGTTACCCCCAAATGCTGTTCTGCTTGGCCCCAAGCCCCTGGACTGCCTGTCCCCCTGTCTTCACACAAACTCAGCCGTTATACCCTGTGAGCCTAGAGTGCCCTGTCTTTCAGATGCCCATGCAGTGGCCCCTCCTGCCTGGATGTAGAAATGTGTTATTGTGCCCCCTGGGAGTCCTGGGCCCTCCATGTCCAGCACATTCTGGAGGGCCAGTGCCAGCTGTGGCTCAGCTTGCATTTTACAGCCATGGAGAGTGCAAAGAAAGCCTCTCAGGACTGTGGTCGACTCCAGCTCATCTGAACCTCCCTCCCAGCACTCAGTGTGGTAGGACACTGCATGGGGCCACTGCCTCATGCGCTGCAGCCACCGTCACCTGTGGACCTATCCTCCAGGCACTCAGTTTCCCTGGGGCACCATGGGATAGGTGTCCAGATGCTGCCACAAGGCACTGCTGCAGCTAGGCAGCCTGGTCAGGGGTGCACAACTCAGCTGTGGTGTGAGTGGCTAACAGAAAAAACACAGCAATTGTGTTGTATCAGGATCAGATAAAAGGCCCACAATCCAACTTTGTGTTTGTGGAATAGACAGGAGCCACACCCACTGATGACCACTCAGCCACACAGGGTTAACCTCAGACCTCTTTATTTTAGGTTACAAGCAGCAGACAGGGGATGGGGGCCGGTCACAGAGAAGGTCACCCAGGCATGGAGCTGGGGACACTGTTGTAAAAGCCACTTCACAGAGACAAGTGCTGCTGTTCCAGGACCGATCAGCAATGATGGGGGCTCTGGGTCTTTCGACCAGCTGCGTGCTCCTCAGACATCTCTCACAATCTCTAGCCCCAAGAGCCTGGCAGCTCCATCCCAAATCCCAGGGTCATGAGCCCAGGGGACTAGGGCCAGGCCTGGGTTCTTGAGGGACTTCGCAGCCTGCAGCAGGGTCATCCCAGTATGAGCAGTGAGCCTAAACATCTTCCTTGTCCTGCATGACCCTTGGTCCTGGGGGCTCCCAAAACACAGTTCAAACTGGGTCACCCAGGTGCCAAGAGGGATGTAGGGAGGCACTGGAGATGGTGCCCAGAGTGGACTGAGCCCTGTGGGAGGATAGGGAGACTACAGGAGCATGAACTGCCTTAGGAAAGCCGTGAAAGGTGGCATGCGATAGAATTCCCCTGGAGATTGGGGCATCTCCTGCAAGCCATGTCCTCACCATGGGCCACAGTCAGCTACCAGTCTACAGCACTGTGGCAAGAGGGGGGCTGAGGGCTCTGGGAGATCTGCACCCACCGCGGAGACGCAAGAGCAGGTAGATGGTGCTGTGGTTCTCGATGTGATAGTAAGTGAGCGGGTGGCGATCTTCCAGCTCCTGGGAATTGTGCGTGAGGCGCTGCTGGTCCACAGGGACTTTCAGCTTGGCCTGGATTTTGGCCTTCAGGTTCTGCACGGTGTCTGTAGGCCGGGCGCCAAAGGTGTAGGTCCTGCCATCATGGCCCTTCACGAAGATCTCCATTTCCTGAGGCTGGGTTTGGAGAAGCAGGATCGTGACATCATAGAAGATGCCGTGTGATGCCAAGGTGCCATTATCATCCAGGACCTTCTGGCTGTCTAGGTCAGTGTCCTGCAGGGCCAGGCGCTGCTGGTAGGGAGGGATGTGCCACAAGCGCTCAATCTCCCCCTTGATCTGCTGGATGGTGGTGCTGGGACTCCGCGTCAGGTCCAGCCAGGACCCTGAGAGCTGCTTCACTCTCACCTGCACTGGTCTGGCCGGCTGGAATACAGAGGGCATGAGATGGGGTTGGGTGGGCACAGAACTGCCACAGGGGGAGCCCCCAGTGGCAAACAGCTGCCTGGCCCAGGCATGCCG